TAGTCCAGTGGTTTTAACTCAGAGTACACTCACATGAGACCATTCTAGCCTCAGTTTCCCCGACTGTAAAATGGGGGTGGAAATAGAGGTGACCTCATAGGGCCATGGTCAGAAGAAATGACAGCGTGTATGGGGGCAGGCCTGGCTATCAGAAAGCAGTGTTCATAATTCCCACTAATTGTGAGGTCACATCTGGAGATCAGCACATGGCAGCCCACGGGACCAAATCCTGCCACCTAAGGACTTTTTTTTTTTAAGACTTTTTTTTTTTAAGTTTATATATTTAAATAAGAGAGCAAACGGGAAGAGCAGAGAGAGGGAAAGAGAAAATCCCAAGCAGCCTCTGCACTATCAGCGCAGAGCCCGACATAGGGCTCGAACTCACGAACCATGAGGTCGTGACCTGAGCTGAGATCGAGAGTTGGATGCTCAACTGACTGAGTCCCCCAGGCGTACCCCCTGCCCCCCACACACCAAGAAGGATTTTAAAGCAGATGGCAAAAAAATCAAAAGAAGAATATTCTTTGACATGTGAAGCTTCTGCGGAATTCAGATTGCATTGTGGGAAGAGGCTGTGCCGGTTCGTCACTGGGTCACCGGCTGCTGCTTTTGCTCTGTGACAGCTGAGCTGAGTAGTTGTAACAGAGACCGGGTATGATCTGCAGACCCAGAAGAGTGACTCTGATCTGTCAGGAAAGGTGTGCTGACCCCGGCGTTACAGTGACAGATGACGGGAAGGTAGAGACCCTGTCCTCGTTGATTGTTAAAGCCAGGCCAGCCGGAAGGGCGACATCACATCTTGCGAGTAGGACAGTCTTGTCCCTGGGGGGTCCTGGGGGCTCCGAGGGGTGCTGGGGGTGCGGGCGGGGGCCTCACGATCGTGCCGTTTTTCTGCAGCGCATTCTGGAGGCCAAGGAGGAGAACCCCCTCCCCGCCGCCCTGGTCCAGCCGCACACGGGAAAACTTTGCTGGTTCCTGGACGAGGCAGCGGCCCGACTCCTGACCGTGCCCTTTGAGAAGCATTCCACTTTGTAGCTGGCCCCGAGGGACACCACAGCTGGGACCGCAGGCCGCCCCCCGAGGGCCGGGACCTTCCTGAGCTGGGCCCTCGCTGCCGCCGCCGCCGCCGCCGCCACCCCAGGCCTCGTTTCCCGAAAGCTGCGTGGTGCCGCTGGGAAGCCCCAGGGGTCCGGCCACCAGCCCAGCCTCCCCCGGCCGTGGCTCCGGGTGACCAGATATTAAAGGGAGCATTGGCTTGAAGTCTCCACTGTGTCGTGGTCCTCGGCGGGTGGCGGGGCCAGGGGTGCCCAGGCCGCGCGTGGCCCTGACGCCTTCGTCTCACTGTTCCTTCCCGGGGTTTGGTGGCTGCTGGCCCTCCGCGCCCATCCTGGGCTTGTAGACACACCCCTGCACTGTCTGCCCCTGTTGTCACATGTCCTTCTCCCTGTGTCCTCTCCTGTTCTAGTAAGGACACCTGTCATTGGACATAGGATAGCCCTAAATCCGGGGTGAGCTTTTCTCAAGATTCTTAGGAATGACACCTGCAGATGAGGTCACGTCTGAGGTTCCAGGGGTTCGGGCATGGGCATAGCGTGCGTGCGGGCGTGTGTGCGTGTGTGTGTGCCTGTTAAAAAACACCTAACAGGAGCACCTGGGTGGCTCAGTCGGTTAAGCGTCCGACTTCGGCTCAGGTCATGATCTCACAGTTCATGAGTTCGAGCCCCGCATCGGGCTCTGTGCTGACAGCTCGGAGCCTGAGGCCTACTTTGGATTCTGTGTCTCCTTTTCTTTTTCTTTTTTTCTTTTTTTAATGTTTGTTTTTTGAGAGTGTGAGTGGGGGAGGGGCTGAGAGAGAGGGAGACACAGAGTCGGAAGCAGGCCTCAGGCTCCGAGCTGTCAGCACAGAGCCCGATGCAGGGCTCCCAACTCAAGAACCTCGAGATCATGACCTGAGGCAAAGTCTGACACTTAACCGACTGAGGCAGCCAGGTGCCCCTCCTTGTCTCCCTCTCTTTCTGTCCCTCCCTGGCTCATTCTCTCTCTCCCTCTCAAAAATAAACAGACATTAAAAAAAAAAAAAATTACCGTCTTAACCGTTTTTAAAAGTTATTTATTTATTTAGAGGGAGAGAGTGCATGCATGAGCCAGGGAGGGGCAGAGAGAGAGCGAGCCACATGTGGGTCCACGCTGTCTGCACATGGAGCGTGACTCAGGGCTCAATCTCATGAACTGTGAGATCATGACCTGAGCCAAAATCAAGAATCGGACACTTAGCCAACTGAGCCGCCCCGGCGCCCATCATCTTAACCATTCTTAAGTGTCGCGTTCAGTGGCATTAGGTCCATTCACGCCACTGTGCAGCACCCCCCTCCGTCCCCAGAGCCCTTGGCGACCTGAAACTACCCCTGTTAAACAGCCCTCCGCTGTCCCCTTTCTCAGGCCCCGCAAGTCTCCTCTCTGTCCCTGTGAACTTGACTGCTCTGGCCACCTCCCGTGAGCGGAGCCATACAAGATCTGTCCTTTCGTGGCTGGCTTATGTCACTCAGCATAACGTCCTCGCGGTCCATCCATGCCATAGCCTGGGTCCGAATTAACCTCCTTTTTAGGGCCAAATCCTAGTCCATATGTCACAGTGTCCCCTGTCTGTCTGTTGATAGACATTTGGGAGGCTTCCACGCTTTGCATCTCGCGGTAGAGCTGCTGGGAACACGGATGTACAAATATCTCCTCAAGAATCTGCCTTCAATTCTGGGGATATTCCTAGAAGTGTAATTGTCGATTCATATAGTAATTCTGTTTAGATCTCGAGGCACCTCTGTAGGGTTTTCCGTGGCCACTGTACCTTTTATTTTCCTGCCAACAGGGAACAAGGGTTTTCACTTGCTTCACATCCTCACAAACACTTGACTTGGCTTTCTGACAGTAGCCTGTGGACATACCCTTTTGGGGCACACGATTCAGCCCATTATACACTTGGCGGAGCCCTCCCGGCACACACGGGGCCGGTAGTGGCCTCTGTGTCCCACTGGGCTGCAGACCTCCTCAGAGCCTTGAATGTGCCAGGATGCCACAGTCTGTGATGGGCCTGCGTTGTAGCGTTTTCCCAGAGTGTGGCGGCACGTGGCTCACCGTCGGCTCTGTGGCTCCAGGGCACAGCAGGGGAGGCCAGTGGGTGCCTGGGTGCCTCTCAGCCATGCTGGAGCTTTGCCAAGTTTGGAGGGCAGGGGGCGTCCCGCAGAGACACCTGATCAGGCTGTGGGGATTGAAGCCCCAAAGCTGAAACCACAGAAACTGAAGTTTCCTTCAACATCTTGTCTGCTTGGTCACTCAGATGTGAGAGTGAGGAAGTGGGACAGGGACAGGGGGAAACGGAGAAAAGCAGAGAAAGCAACCCAGCCGTGGGCTCGGGCCACAGTAGGTGGCCGTGACCCCAGGGCTGCAGGCATAAGCTGGGATGGGGGGTGCCAAGAGGCAAAGGGAAGTGATGAGACAGGCATGGGGACCCCGTGAGCAGGGACCTCGGGGGCATGTCACCTCTCTACCCCTCTCCCTGCAGCCACAGCTACCCCTACTCCGGACCTGCCTTGTCTGGCCCTCACTTACCTTCCTCCAGCCCACCCACACCAGCTGTCCTGGAAGCTGTCAAGCCCATTCCCACCTCAGGGCCTTTGCACCTGCTGTGCCTGCTCCCCAGTATTCTTTTTCCTCCAGCTCTTTGCTTGGCCCGGGCTCTCACTTGCTTTAGGTCATGGTGCAACATCAACGTCCCCGACCCCTCTCCACCTCTGGTGTTTTCTACCTCTTCCTGTTCCACTTTTCTTCCTTACCTTTCTCCTTACCTGACTCAGTTGCTGGTGTGCCAACTGATGGTCCATGGGGGCTGGACCATATGGTCTGTCTTACCCACTTCCGCATCCCTGGCACATAGTTCAAGGATGACACTCAGGCTGGCAACGAGTGATGTTTGTGGCTGCAAGAAACGAACCCTGGGGCCCTGGTGAGGGTTACAATCCGATGTTCCCAGCAGCTTAAACAGATGGAGGCTTAGCTCTTCTTCTGGAGGGAGGCCACCCAGGACTGGTGGTAGAGCAATGTCATGAACGCTTTGGGGGATCCCCGGTTCCTACATCGTAGTCGCGCCATTGTCATTATGTGGGTTTCACCTCGTGGTCCAAGGTGGGCTGCACCTGCTCCGGCCATCACATCCACACTCTGGCCACGTGCACTCAACCCTCTCTTCGTCTGAAAGCCTGTGAACCTCCCATCTGATCACTTTTCAGCCTGGAGTGCGGCCTCTGCTTCTTCCCTCCCTTCATTAAACTGAGGGCTGCCCTCCGCCAGGCCCTGGAGGGACAGGTCAAGGGGTGGGGAGACCCAACCAACCCAACCCAGTCCAGTGCCGTGTGCATCGATGGAGGACAGGCGGACAAGACAGGAAGACAAGGGATGTATCCCGTCAGTCCATGGCATACCAACAGCTCCCCCACCCTCTCCCCCTGCCCCAGCACTGACCCCAGGACCTGGGGGGGTTCTGTCCAGCTGTCTTCTCAGTCTGGGGGCTGCTGGGAGCCGAGCCAGAGCTGGAGCCTCTCAGAACCCGGCAGCACCCAGCGAAGGACTGGCAGAGAGGAAGTGGGCACCAAGGATTTGGACCCCACTGTCCCTGTCCATCCCCCTCCCCTGCCCCACACCCCAAGGACAGCTGCCGGTCCCACCAGGTGTCTGCCTTGCGTCCCTCCTCCAAAGCCAGCTAAGACTCCTCCGTACCCGCAAACCACCCCCGGGGCTGCCCCAGCAGCCCCTGCAGGAACCCGCGGCTCTGGAGGCCTCGGTCCCAGGAGGACGCAGGTGCAGGGCGGGGCGGCGCAGGGGTGGGCACTCCCCACCCAGCCCGACAAACACACTCACACAGGGGCTGTGCCCTGGCTTCTGGCCCCAGGCAGCTGGTCTTGGCCGCATCCAGGTCTTTACGCCCAGGGTGCCCCTGAACCCAGAAACCTGGGGGCTGTGGGAGGGAAGGCAGTGTCTGCTTTGCCCTCCAGGGAGCCCCCAGCGACAGCAGCAGGATGGGTGGGCGGCCCTCGAGCCCCCTGGACAAGCGGCAGCAACAGCATCTGAGGGGTGAGCCGGCAGGGGGTGGGGTGGGAGGGGGCAGGTGGGGTTCAGGGCCACAGTGTCTGACAGTATAGGACGCCCTACTAACGTGAATCCCAGAGAAGCAATGAACAGTCCTGTTTTGTATAAGTATGTCCCCAATTTTGCATGGGGTACATACTTATGCTAAAACATGACCCCTCATTTACCTGAAATTCAAATCGAATTGGTGTCCTGTATTTTTATCAGGTGAATCTGGTAACCCTACTCAGGGCGTGGGTTCGGGATGAGGGCAGGGGCCCGGTGAGAGGAGTCCCAGGCCCACCCAGATCTCCCGGGATAGTTGTGCTCAGTGGGCAAGGGCCAGCAGGGTCCTCTGCACGGACCCTGGGGACAGGCTCAGTTTCCAGCTGGAGACTAAGAGGAGCTCACTTGGCGGAACGTGTACTGTGTACCGGGCACTGGGGCCCCAGCGGGGTTGAGAAATGGTCCCACTCTCCTGGACTCATGGTCTAGACCAGGAAAGAAAGCCAAGGTATTACAAGAATGGCAGTTGACTGATAAGCACAGTGGAGCACTCCTACCTCCCTCACATCAGGGGAAGAAGAAGGGGTGGGTCACTGCCCCCTGAGATGATGGTCAAGCCGGGGTGCACGGATGTGATGCAGTTGATGGGCGGGAGACGCGGGAAGAGCATCCCAGATGGGGAACCGCACATGCACAGGCATGGGCATGTCTTACCCACACTCAGACCACCCAAGTTCACACCACGGCCACTCACTGTGTGGACCTTGGGTGAATGACTTCATCTCTCTAGATCTCCTCTTTGTAAAACAGGGATAGCGACAATATCTATCTCATGGAGCCATTGTAAGGGTTCAGTAAGTTACCTTACGCCACGTTTTTCTTTTTATCCTCCTGTAGTGGCTTAAACAAAATAAAGGTGTATTTCTCTCTCCTTTAGAGAGGTACAGTGGCAGGCAGGCTGATGAAAGTCAGACACCGGAACTCCTTCACTTCATCATTCTCCCATATTTGCTTCTGTGCCTGAGGCCACCTCCTGGTGCATAATAACTGCTGATGCCCCAGCCTTTGCGTCCACATTCCAGGCAGCAGGATGCATTTATGTATTACCGACAGCCAAGTGCACACACCTTAGGGAAACGGCTTGGAGGACTTTAACACTTGCATGATCACTTTCTAGATCGTGATCCAGAGCGCCCCCACCGCCTCCAGAAAATTCCCCTGTGCCAGGGTGAGGCTTTTAAAAGATTTTGAAGCTCTCCCCCACGTAAGGGGCGAGAGGAAACTTGGATGGGATGGATCTGTTCATTATCTTGACTGTGGTGACGGTTTCTCGGGCTGTAAAGGCGTCAAAGCTCATCAGATTGGATGCTTCATGTGACTAAAATGTATCGTACGTCCGTTATGAATTAAGCCTGAGTCACCTACTTCCGTGCTCCTTATTCCTCTGTGGATGTAAACGGTCTGCGGAGGGTCAAGGGTGGATGGGATTTGGAGCACCTCTTGTTGGGCGGTTTTGGGGCAAGGGTAGGAGCTCACACGTGGCTTGCTGCCTGCCCGGCCCTCCCCAGGCATCTGTCGGGGCTGCTTCAACCACCTTATTGTCCCCTTGTCCCTGCAGGCCAGGTGGACACCATGCTGAGGAACTTCCTGCCCTGCTACCGCGAGCAGCTGGCAGCCTCTGTCCTGCGACAGATCTCCCGGGAGCTGGGGCCCCAGGAGCCCCCCGGATGCCAACTGATGCGCAGCAAAGTGGGTGCCGCAAGGGGAGGGGGTGCTGGCTCAGCCGGGGGCCCCCCTTCCACCTTTACCCTAGCTGCCGCCAAGACGTGCAGAGACTGCTAAAAATGCATTCTTTGAACTTTCATTGGGCACCTACTGCATACCACGTCCTAGGCTAGACACCGGGGACACAGCAGCGGTGGGGGCGGGTCCTGCTATGCCCCGCCCCCCCCCCCCCCCCCCCCCCGCCGCCCCACCAGGCTCACAGTGTGACGGGGAGAGAAATGACCGGATGAGTTGCCGTGTCATGTTTTGCAGGATAACTTCTGACGGGTGCTATGAAGATAAGATGGAGGGCAGTGTTTTGGGGGGCGGGGAGTCGGGGTGCAAGGGGGTGCCCTCTGAGCTGAGATGTAAAGGATGAGAAGTCACTGGCCTGGCTTGAGAAGGGAATTCTAGGCAGAGGGTGTGAGCCGGGCGGAAGTTCTGAAGCCGGAAAAGGCTCGCCTGGTCTCCTGGGTGTGAAACGTGCCCCTGGGACCCGCAAGCCTGGGCACACGTGACGCCCTCCGCCTGGCGCACTCCTCCTGCTCCTCGGGTGTTGGCCGCCACTTCTTCCAAGAAGCCTTCCTGGATTGCCACAGCCCCTACCTGGGTTGGGTGCCTCCTCTGGGGTCCCCATCCCGCTGCTTTTCCAGGGAAGCCTTGGGTCACACGTCTGCCTCCCTCATCTGATTGCCCTGGGAGGGCAAGGGGCAAGCTTTGTCTCCACCCCAAGTCCCGTATGTCCATGGGGTGCCTGCACACAGTACGAGCTCAGGAAGTTTCTCGATAGAACACAAGAGCCTGGAACTGCCTGGCCCCAGCTCCAGACGTCTCCTGAGCCAACAGATGGCTCCACATGCCCTGTACAACACACCCAGTCCTCACCAGCCTGGGAGACGAGTCTTTGACAAGTGAGGAAGCTGAAGCACAGAGAGGTGAGGTGACCTGTCTGAGGTCACCCTCCCAGCAGGAGGCAAGGCAGGATTCGAACCTGGAGCCCCTGCCGGTTATTGACACTTCCCCAATCAGGGCTCTGAGTTTTCCTACCTCCGTCGGATGACTCCGTGCCTGACCTGGGGTGGAGGCTCCCCGGAACTGTGGACACAGAGCCCCCTCTCACCTGGGCCTCTCCTTGTCCTGCCTAAGGCCTCACGGGCCACCAGGTGTCGTCCCCACCTGCGCCTTTTGTCACCTGTAGGTTCTGGCCACAGGGGCCAGGGCACAGTTGACATTGGGGTTCGGGCGGTGTGAACATTTTATAAAATACTCCTTATAAATAATTTCTGTAATAATGTTTTAATAATATTATTAGGAAAAATCTCAGAGCTCAGAAAAGGTTTGGGGAATCATTTCACCCACACCTGACTTTCTACCACCACTGTCAAAGACTGAAAACATCACAAATACAGTGAGCTTATTCAGTGAATATTTATCGAGCACCATCTGTGCACCGGGACTTGCTCTGGGACCCGGGGATGAAATGAAAGGCACAGAATTCAGGTGGCCAGGTAGTGAGAAGGGTAACAAAGGTAATAAAACAAAGTGACGTCCCACCCAAGCGAAGGGTCTGTGGGCAGAGGTCTGGCTGTTTCTCACTTGAAGGGAAACTACACCTGCTCCCTGACCCAGCAATCCCACTTGTATCGGTTAGCTAATGCTGCGTAACAAAACATCACACAACCAGTGGCTGGAAACAGTGCACATGTATTACAGTTGCTGTGGGTCAGGAATCCAGACACAGCCTCCTGAGTTCTTTCTTTCAGGGTCTCTCACAGGCTGCAGTCAAGATGTTGGCCAGGGCTGGGGTGTCATCTGACGCTCAAGAGGGAGTGGGGGTGACAAAGTGTCTGCCCCCAGGGCTGTGGGGAGGACTGAATCCATGTGTATTTGGAGGGGCCTCAAACAAGTGCGTGCTGTGAGCATGCTTAGGAAGCAGTGCCCCCCGGGCACTCTGTTCTTGGTGGAGGAGCCTGGGATGGGGGGTCGTGTGTGGAGTGGGGGTGCTTTCCGGGTGGTCTGGACATGGGGACACCGGCCTGTGCCCCTGACACTCACTGGTCCCTCCTCCTGCAGAAGCTTCCCCGAGTCCGTGAGCACCGAGGGCCTCTGACCCAGCTTTGGGGCCACCCGCCTCAGTGGCAGCCAATCTTCTGTGTCCTGCGCGGAGATGGCCGCCTGGAGTGGTTCAGCCACAGGGAGGTAAGCGAGCGGCGCTCCTCCCTTCTGTGCTGGCCTCACCCTTCCACTCCCCGCGGCATGGGCTTCGGGGTCCAGCTCCCAACACGGCCCTCTCTCCTTTCTTCAGTTACCTGGCATGAACAGAGGGTCCCTTTGAGATGGGCCTGCGGTGGGTCCCACTGGGCCGGGTAGGAAAACTGAGGTCCAGCCCAGGAGTAGGGACTTCCTTGTGGTCATCAGCGGAGCTGACATTGAAACTGAGAGGCCCTTGTGCAACACATCTCGCTGGGGAACTCGGGCGGGTCATTTGTACTCTTGGGACTCAGTTTCCACCTCTGTGAAATGGGATACTGTGCAGGAATAGGGAAAGGATGATGCTGGTCCAGGCCGTATGGGGCTGTGAGGATTCGATGAGATAATCCTCATGCACTATTTAGGACGGGCCTGGCACACAGTGGGTGCTGGGTGCTTGACTACGGGTGGGGGGAGTGTAGGACTTCCCTAGCTAACCCCAAGCCTTCCCCTGATCCCACAGTTAGGACGTGGAAGCCAGGGTTTAGACCTGTCCCAAGTTGGTTCTCTGGATGCCTTTCATAGGAATACGAAAATGGGGGCCGTCCCCTTGGCTCCATGGCCTTGACGGGCTATACTGTCCTGACTTCCCAGCGTGAGTATCTCCGCCTGTTGGATGCTCTCTGCCCAGTCTCCTCAGGTAAGCTTCCTGAGACTGCAAGAGCAAATTTCTTCACATCAGAGTTGTTGACAGTTGGGGCCAAATCATTCTTTGCAGGGAGGGAGGGTACCCTATTCATTGCAGGTGGTGGAGAGCATCCCTGGCCTCCACCCACTTGAGGCCAATTGCACCCCCCTTGCAACGTGTGACAATCAAAAATATCTTCAGACACTGTCAAGTGTCCCCTGGGGGCAGCATTGCTTTTGGGTGAGTACCCCAGCTCCAGCAAGAGAAATATCCACTCTTACTAGAGTGAGAAGGAGAATTAGGACACTGGACCAGAATCAAAGCAGCAAGCGTAAAAACAGTAAAGCCTGGTGTCAGCAAGCATGTGGGAAGATCGTCACTGGTGGGGGGGTTGGTTAAATAAATCACGGCCCAGCCCTTAGAAAGGAAAGATGTAGGGGCGCCTGGGTGGCTCAGTCAGTTAAGTGTCCAACTCCAGCTCAGGTCACGATCTCACGGTTCATGGGTTTGAGCCCCGCATAGGGCTCTGTGCTGACAGCTCAGAGCCTGGAGCCTGCTTCGGATACTGTGTCTTCCCCCCTCTCATGCTTTGGCTCTCTCTCAAAAATTAAAAAAAAAAAAAATCTAAAAAAGAAAGGAAAGCTGTGTAGCAGCTGGAGGTGCCCCAGACGTTTGCAGGAACAAAAAGACCAGTTATAGAGCAGAAAAGCCCATCTTGTTTGAAAAAAAAAAATGCACCTCATGCACTTTGTGCAGATTTTAAAATCTGGAGTTTTGTCCCTCCTCCCCCCAAGTGTTAAAAGGCTTCCCTCTGGGGACGCCTGGGTGGTTTAGTCGGTTAAGCGTCCGACTTTCGCTTAGGTCATGATCTCGCGGTTCGTGGGTTCGAGCCCCGCGTCGGGCTCTGTGCTGACTGCCAGCTCAGAGCCTGGAGCCTGTTTCAGCCTGTGACTCCCTCTCTCTCTGACCCTCCCCTGCTCACGCTGTCTCTCTCTCTCTCTCCTAGAAATAAATAAAACATTAAAAAATTTTAATAAAAAAAGGCCTCCCTCTGGAGACTCCCGTTGAAGGGCCGGGAGGACCAGGAATTTCCATCTTCTGAATTACTGCATCTCACTGCAGTTGTGTGTACCACTCTGGAAATCAGAAGGGGGGGGGGGATGAGGATTTAGGACACCCCAAATAAATTAACCCCCGCAAAAATTTCACTCACCCCATTTCCCCAACAGGTCACTGATACCACTTTTAAGCCCATTTTATAGGTAGCAAAACCAAGGTTCAGGTAGAAAAAGTGTGCCCTACACCCGGAACTAGCAGATGATCTGGCCGGGTTTGAATCCAGACCTCGCCGACTCCCAGTGTAAGCGGAGCTCAGATCACCACGGACGTGCCAGCTCAGATGGATTGGTGTGGCCTCCACACCAGGGCCAGGCGTCCGTGTTAAGGAGGATGCTGAGGCCAGGAAGCAATGCGGGGATGGGTCCCTGATGTCCGCCCTGGGCACCTCTCCCCACTGGGACTGAGCCGGAATAAGGATAGTGCAATTGTGAGAGCAACCGCCCATGCGGGGGTAGGTGGGGGGGGGGGGCTCCTCTCAGCATTTCATGGGTGTTTTCTTCTAGTGAATGAATGCTTGATCGTAGAGTGAGAGAGTGAATGAAGACACAACCTCCTCCGTCTGCTTTCAGGAGAGCATACACAGGAAGAGCCTGAACCCCTCCTGGAAATGCCCGTGAACTTCCCCCTGTTCCTTCAGCACCCGTTCCGCCGGCACCTCTGTTTCTCTGCAGCGTCGGGGGAAGCGCAGCGGGCTTGGAGGCTGGCCCTCCAGGGTGGCATCCGGCTTCGTGGCACAGGTGGGTCCTGGGGAAGGTCAGGCCGCTAGCTGTGTATCTTAGAGTCCGAGGTAAGCTCGCTCTGCCAGCTGCCTCTGGGGTCCTCTCCAAGTTTCTTGTTTCTTTGTTTGCGAAACGGATTGTCGGGGGAGACAGATGTGACCACAGGCTGCGGGGGGGACACAGCCCTGTGGGAGCTTAGCCTGGGAGATCAGGGAGGGCTGCTCGGAGGAGGGCGTGTCCACGCTGGGGTCTGACCAGGATAAGGGGCCAGCTGGGGGAAGAAGGGGAACAGGACCGACAGGTATGTTGAGCAGGTTGTTGAGTGCACAAATGTACCTATCTGGAGAGACAGTGCGGCCTGGCTGTGGCTGCCCACAGGGGACGCTTTTTCCTAAATCGGATTATAAAGGTGCTTAACGGGCTGGTGATGGTCCCCGGGCCCCGCTTGTGCGAGGGTCTGGCGATGGGTGAGATTTAGGTGCTCCGGGACCTGGTGAGGGGGTGGAGGGCTTCGTGCCAGGGCGGTGGGGAGCCAGGCAGTGGTGAGAGCAGGGGAGCAGTGGGCGGAGGCTGGGCAACTGCCCTCCTCAGTCTTGCAGCGCAGTCAGGCCCCCGCCGCCCGTGCCTTCCTGGACGCCTTAAGACTCTATCGGCAGCACCGAGGCCACTTTGGCGAGGACGACGCGACCCTGGGCTCGGACGCCGAGGTCAGTGCCTCGCAAGGCCGCCCCGGGACCCCGGCCAGGCCCGCCGCCGGCGCCCACGGTCCCCTCTCCCTCTCCCGCAGGTGCTGACCGGGGTGCTGGTGCGGGAGCTGCTGCCGGCGCTGCGAGCCCAGACCCTGCCCGGCCTGCGGGGGGCCGGCCGCAGCCGTGCCTGGGCCTGGACCGAGGTACACGCGGGGGGCCGTACGGGGGGGGCCCATCTTCTCCCTCCCCGCGACTGTCCCCTAAACTCTCTCCGCGTCTCTCTGGGTCTCCGTCCCGGTCTCTCTCTCCCCGCATCCCCGCCCCTCCTCGGCTCGCTGTCGCGCCTCTGGCCCGTGTGCGGTCCCCTCGGCTGGTCCCGGCAGCTCCTCGACGCAGTCCACGCCGCCGTCCTGGCCGCGGCCGCCGCCGGCCTCCGCGCCTTCCAGCCGGAAAAGGACGAGCTGCTCGCCGCCCTGGAGAAAACCATCCGCCCAGACGTGGACCAGATTCTGCAGCTGCGGGCGCGCGTGGCGGGGAGGCTGCGCAGTGAGGCCTGGGGGCGGGGCCTGGGGGGCGGGGCCATCAGGGGGCGGGGCCAGGGCCCCGGCAGGTTGAAGGGGCACAGGGTGGTTGTAACGGGTGGGGCCGAGAATCCGGGAGCCCAGAACCAACCAGGCAGGGCAGGAAAAAGACAGGGCGGGGCTTCGGGGGCGGGATACGAGTTGGAGTGTGGGCGTGGCCTTGAGGCCCGGGCTGGAGGAAGCGAGACAAGGGCGGGGTCAAGAGCTCAGCCAAGGTCGGGGCCGTGGAAAGACAGCGGGCTAGGGATGGAGCGAACGACATCCAGTCGGGAGAGGAGTGGAGGCGCAGGCAGTGGCAGACCCGACCCGGGTTATCCCGGTCAGATGGCGGAGGCTCCCACTCTGCTCAGTGACAAAGACAACCGGGTTGGAATCCAGACTCTGCCGGTCGGGCGCACGGCTTTGAGCTCATTGCTGCCACACTCATGGCCTCAGTTTTCTCATGTGTAAAATGCTAGAAGGGGGTGCTCAGAGTCTGAGCTCCTGTCCTCCGCGTGCTGAGCTCCGGGCCGCCTCCTCCCTCTTTCCGGAGCACCTTGCAGAGGAGACCCAGGCTAGTGTCTTGCCTTCCAGGCGAGGTTGAGGGCGCCCTGGAATCCTGCCTGCGCGACAGGGTGGACACGCAGCTGTCCCAGGTCACACAAAGGCTGCAGAGCACCGTGGCAGCTGTGCTCTCAGCAGTGCAGGCGCTCCTCACCCAGGGCATGGACCGCCTATCGCGCCACCTGCGCGGGAGCCCCTCCAGCACGCGGTTGCGCAAGGAGGTGAGCCTCAGGGGGTGGCGTTCATCCCACTGACGCGCAGTGTGTTAACTTTCCGGAAGAGTCCTGTGAACTCGTTTATCTTTCTGTCTGAAAACCTCTTTTGAAAACCTTTTCTGAACTCTGTCCTGGGTGCTTTTTACAGACTGTAGACCACCATGCTGTGGTCGTTGGAGGCACAGTTTAAAACACGGCTGGAGCAGGAGTAAAATGACAAGAGTAGCATTTTAGCAACCTGAGTCTGGAATCACCTACCCTCAAATCCCTCCTCTTCCCATTTCTATGTTCAGCCAAGGCGCACCCCATCCCCTAAGCCGGTGACTTCTGCTTCATGCAGATCACCTCAGGTCTTCTGATATTAAATGAGCACCTACTAAATGCCAGGAAAACGTCAACTCATTAAGCTTCCATTTCACAATCACTTCCTCTAGGAACTTTCCCTGCTCTCTTTCTGCATCTACTGCTACCTGTGCTTTCTTCCTCACAGACATACATATACACCTCTCTAGCTGTTTGTCAATAGTTTATCTTCCCCAACTTTTTAAAAAAAATTTTTAATGCTCTATTTATTTCTGAGAGAGAGAGACAGCGTGAGCAGGGGACGATCAGAGAGAGAGCGAGACACAGAACGTGAAGCAGGCTCCAGGCTCTGAGCTGTCAGCACAGAGCCTGACACAAGGCTCGAACCCACGACCGTGAGATCATGACCTGAGCTGAAGTCGGACGCTTAACCGACTGAGCCACCCAGGCGCCCCTATCTTCCCCAACTTTTCTGTGAGCTCCTTGAGGGCAAAGACCGTATTGGATTACTCCATTTCTGTGGCCCCAGAGCCAAGGACTGGTGTGACAAGGGCTGGTGTGCCTATTTCTCCTCAGTCATGCCAGCACTGTGTGTTATCCATTTTTTTCAGGTTTTACTATTTTATGTCAACCCTACCATACCTGTTACCTTTATTATGCATTTTGGGGGTAATGACTGAGGTGGGATGTGTTTCCATTTGTATCTCTCTTACTGGGAATTGGCTGTGAGAGCTTTGCCCCTGCTTTCCCATCGACTGGTGTTTTTCTCACCTGACTGGCACTGGGGCACAGGTTTACTCATTTGGGGAGATGCCCTGGGACGCGGAGCTGATGCAGACCTGCTACCGTGAGGCTGAGCGAAGCCAGAGGCGCCTGGGGCAGCTGGTGGTGCCATTTGGCTTCTTTGGCACACGAAGCCTGGTATTTGGGGCCCAGGATCTTGCACAGCAGGTGAGGGCGAGCGGCGGGGGGGGGGCCTGCGGGGAGGAAAGGCAAGATCAGCGGCCTGCGAGGAGCAGGTGCCAAGTGTGTGCTGGGGAGACGATGATGACGGACAGACCTGCAGACCTCTGCCCACAGCCAGGCTGTGACCACAGGTGGTGGACGGGGCTGTGGCGGGAACACGAGGTGCTCTGGGAGCTCCGAAGGGGCCCTTGGTTCATCTCCAGGCTTAGGAGGACCCCCCAGGAGGAGAGGACTTGCCAACTGAAGCAGCAGTGGGAGGAATGGGGTGAAATTTGTCCTGGGTCGGGGAACAGCACTGGCAGGTGAGGGAGTTTGTCTGAGTTTGGGAGAAATGAAGCCATTTAGAGACATTGGGCTGTAGGTTTCTAGTGAGAGCAGCAAGGTGGGAGATTTGCTGGCAAGGTGGAGGGGCAGACGGGTCAGGGACTTAAGTGTGGGATTAAGGGGCCAGGCTCTGTCCTGAGGCCAGTGGGGAGCCACAGCAGGTGTGTGAGCAGGGGAGGGGCATGACCAGATTCAAGATTTAGGAAACCCTACCTGCTGTGGAGAAGAGGGAGCTGTCGGGAGCAGGAATAGAGGAGGCAGATAGGAGGCCTGAACCACAATGGGTACTGTTGGTGGAGAGAAGTGGCGTGTGTTTGAAAGCCAAAAGGATAGGACCTGCTAATGGACATGGTGAGTGAAGGAGACAGGGATGGAGAAGACCAAGTGCTGCCTGGTTCAGTTGTTCACGTTGTGCACTGCACAAGAGCACTCAGCTAAGGAGGCAGAACTCTGACCAGCTCTCTGCTCCCCAGACTGAGCACTGAGGCACCATCCTCCCTCCAGGGGGAGGGCACTTTCTGCTAGATTACACATAGGTCCCGCTGACTGGATGACTCCCCAGTCCTGTGAGGAAGGGGACGCTGTTTCTTGAGATAAGAAGGAGGTTGGGGGACATCGGGTCAGTCTGGATGCTGAGAAAGGCCAGCCAGGTAGGCACAGGGCCCGGTCAGCAAGAGCATGGGTTCCCCAGGGTAATAGCAGTTACTCTTCCCCGCAGCTTATGGCTGACGCCGTGGCCACCTTCCTACAGCTGGCGGACCAGTGTCTGACCGCAGCCCTGGACTGTGCCCAGGCTGCCCAGCAGCTGGAGAAAGTCAGGGGGCGAGTGCTGAAGGTGAGGTCCCTCGGGCGGGTGTGGCAGACGGCGGGGAGCCTGGGCGTCCCACGGCCGCTGGACCAGCTGCTGTGTGTGCCCCGCAGAAATTCCAGTCGGACAGCAGCTCAGCACAGAGGAGCTTCATCCGCGGATGGGCGCTCTGCGTCTTCTTGCCCTTCGTGCTAAGCCAGCTGAAGTCGAGCTGCAGAGCGGTGAGTGACGGGGGGCACGCATGCAGGGCCCAGGGGACAGCCACGTGCCTGCGTCTTTCTACAAAAGGGGGTCCAGTGCCCTCTCCCTCAGAGTCACCGTGGCAACAAGAGACGGTTGTTCCCTGAGCCCCGTGGTGGGGTTGGATGGCTCTTCTGGGTCCCCGCGGTGCTCTCTGCTTCTCCCCTGACAGTGCTCAGTGTCTGCCGTTTGAGAGCTGGGGTGGGGACCCAAGCACTGTATCTCAGGCTTCGGAGAAGGGAGACATAGGCTTTGGAGAAATGAGGAGGCAGAGAGGGAATGTGTGTGTGTCGGCGGGGGTTGGGGGGGGTTGCCAGGTGATCAGGGGGGCTCTAACTGAGTGTGACATTGAGAAGCAGTGAACAGACGGCATGAGCCGTGTCCTGGGGAAGTGTGGTCCAGGCAGACGGCACAGCATGTGCAAAGTCCCTGAGGTAGGACCTGCCTAATACGTCAGAGGCAAGTGTGGCTGGTGCTCAGTGAGTGAGGGGGTTGGAAGGCGGTGAGAGAGAAGGTCACAGGGGCCCAGTCACATGGGGACACCAGGCAGGGGTGTGCCTCAGGCACTAACAAGATCCTCTAGAAGAAGTAGTTGGAGACAGGGGCTTGGCTAACAGAGATACCTTCGCGATTCCCATTGAGATGTGCTGCGCTGCATTTCATCGGTTCCCACAGCCACCTGAGGGCATAGGGATCCAGGAGTCCATTTTAAAGATGAGGAAACTCAGTCCCAAGGTCCCCCAGCTAATCAAGGTCAAAGTTGCAGCCCTCCCCTCCAGCCCAGCCCCTCACCCAGCTCGGTTCCAGGAGCTGCCCGAGTTCGAAGGGGAGGTCCTTGCCGTGGGTAGCCCGGCCCTGACTGTCCAAGGCATCTGTGAAGACCTTGTTCGGGGGATTCTGCTGCAAAGGATTGATGGAGGTGAGCCCCATTCCTCTACGGCTCAAGGAAGCCTGGGGACCCCTGGCTGTGTATACCACGCATCCTAGGTTCCCCATCACCTCTTACTTCCTGTGAACATGAGCCCTTTGGCTGAATGTTATGACTGGGACAGATGGAGACTTCAGTGAGCGAGTCTTGGAGGGGCAGTGATGGGGCTTCCCTAAAGGAGGGGGCATTGGAGCAAGGGCTCTAAGGGGTGTGTAGGAGTTCTCAGAATGAGGAGAAGGAGGCAAAATTCAGAAACGGAGGGCAGACACATTTACATTTTTTCATTCAGCCACCACTCCCTGTTTTTTTCTGGGCCGGCGTCAAAGCCCCGAGAGTCCTTGGATCTTCTGGGCTGGGAGGTGGCTCCAGAACCATCTCTTCCCCTTTTGCTTCTTCAGTTTGCTCGTGACCCGATGCCTGTGACTGCAGAGAAGTGTGGTTGGATGAGCCATGTGACGTTTGGGGAATGTCATGGCATCCACGGGGCTGATCCAGAGGACAGGAAGGGGAATGGAAGGAGAGGAGCTGGAGGGTGCCGGGGCGGGCGTGCAGGGCCTTGAATAACAGCCAGAGGTGGGTAGGCTTCATTGGGGAGGCAATAGGGAGCCATGGAGGGTGTGTGAGCATGGGGCAACATTGACCAGACTGGAAGTCAGGGAGGAGGCTGAGGGCACAGTCCTAGAGGCAAATGATAGACTGAAGGGGCAGCGAACGAGGGGATACAGCCTGGGTGTGAAGCTGAGGTGGGAGACTGCGGTTGCTGGGCTGAATGTCAAGTGCACAAGAGAGGCCCCAACACTGGGAATGGAGTGTACAGGAAGCAGTGGAGTTCTGAAGAGCCTGGATCTGAAGGCCACCATCAGGAAGTAGGGGCACAGAAGGGTCAGTGGGAGAGGTGGGAGGAAGCCAAAGACAGAAGGGTTCTGGGAGCCAGGCAGTGAGGCCGAGGATGTCCTTGGCCTTTGGGCCTCCAAACCAAAAGAACTAAGTTCCCTTAGAAAAGGGGCGTTTTAAATGGAAGAAGGATGGGGCGCCTGGGTGGCTCAGTCAGTTAAGTGGTTAAGCGTCCGACTTTGGCTCAGGTCATGATCTCACAGTTCATGGGTTCGAGCCCCACGTCGGGCTCTGTGCTGACAGCTCAGAGCCTGGAGCCTGCTTTGGATTCTACCTCTCCCTCTCTCTCTGACCCTCCCCCACCTGTGCTCTGACTAAAAAAAAAAACAAAAAACCAAAAAAACAAAAAAACAAACCTATAAAAGAAATTTAAAAAAATAAATGGAAGAAGGTTACTCCCTAATTGGAAAAAAAAAAATCCAGAAACAGGTGACCTCAGAGAGTCTCTGTTCCTAGATTCATTAATTGATCCTTAATTCGTGTTCCATCCTTAATTGACTTGTCATGTCTGCTTGGAGTGCTGTGTTGGCCGGTAGGGTTGGTAGGGGGCTCAGTGAAGAAGCCGGGATCGGCTAGCAATGTCTGCCATAGTCACCGGTTCTGAGAGAGGCTTATTTGAGCCACCTGTTTTGGGTTCCTGGTTGAGACATTGCCTCCCATCCTTTGCCCTCTTGTGGCCTCTTTGAGAGACTGCATGGGAATCCTTGCCTGGGTCCAAAGGTTTATCTCTTGCTTTAGAACTGAAAAAGGCCCTTGGCGTCAGTGACGTGTCCTGTGCTCTGGATGGCTGCTCAGAGGCCCCATGGGACCAGACAGGAGCAGGTGAGGATCTCAACGGCTCTTGGTCCAGGCCAGTAAATTGTTGGGGGCTGGGGGCCCTGGCATGGGACATAAGGGATGGTTGTTAAGTGTGGACTGCTGAATGGAACAGCATATACCTTATCTCCTGACCCGGCCAGGTTGGCCAAGGTCATGGTAGACAAGGGCAGTGGGAGCCACAGTGTTTGTCTGAGCCACAGAGGTGCCCTCTGACGTGCACATGAATTTGCGTCCTGTCTCATATTGCCAGGACGCTGAAGCTACCGGTTCCCCATGCTGCAAGGGCAGAGTGTGGTCACGGGAGCCTGGGGTACAGCATGAGCCAGGGCTGCTCTGGGAGAGGGGTACAGGGAGCCACGCTCAGTGCCGGGGCAGCCTGACCGCCTACTGCAGGATCCTACAGCGAGCTTTTTGTTGGAGCTGTAAAGGGATGTCGGGCTGAGGCTGACACCGCTGCGGGGGTGCAGGGGTCCTCAGCTCCAGCTGTGAGACGGAAATGTGTCATGGGGACTTCCCTGAAATGGGGCAGAAAACAACCAGACCAACTAGAAGCAGGCCAGCACGCAGGGCGGCTATAATCTGGATGTTCGGCACCCAGGACAGGTACAGGGATTTCAGAATGGCTCACAGCTCGACCCCCTTGAGTATTACTGTTGCTAGAGCCTTAGGAACCCACCCAGCTAAGCAGCTCCCACATTTTTCACCCACAGAAACCCTGAAATCATGTGTGTCACGTTTAGCTGCTAACTTTAGGGAGTCACTTGTTACACAGCAGTAGCTAACTAATACACTAACATGCCACTGATCTGGGGGTGGCATTCCATAGTCGATCCCTGTAGATAAACTGATGAACATTCACACATGCTGGGGTAAATGGAGATTAAAGAGTCGTAGAAAGACTTCTGGGTGTCACAGTATTTGGGGATTTGCAATTGAGGATAAGGTCTTGGGGACGGGCCCCTTAATGTTTTTAACCAGAATCTAACAAGTGATGGTTATTTTGCTTCTAGTCTTTTGAACTAACCGTTATTGCTACAGGGAATGACCTTGTACATACTTTCCAGGCAAGGGCAGGTCTCTGGGTAAATCCCCCAATAGGAAATCTCAGGGTTTAGAGCACTTGTGTTTGTTATTTCAACAGCGGTCTCCAGAGCACTCTCCACCTGGGTGATCCCACCTGGTGCCCCTCACCTGTGTGCAGGTGGCCCATCTCCTGATTACCTGCTATCAGTTGACTCAGGGTTTCTCAGATCTTCTGAGTGAATAACGGCATCTTGGAGTCGTCTTAATGAACACGTCTTATTGGAGAGGAGATTAAGCATCTTTTCATGTGTTTATGAGCTGTTTTTAGCTCCTTTTCTGTGAAACTTTGTTCCTCTCCTTGGCCCATTTATCTTCTGGGTGCTTATAATTTTCTGCTAAGTTTCTTTTGCTAGGCTTCCATTTACTGAGCATTTATTATGTGCCAGGCATTTGATGTGTTTTATCATCCTTATGACACTTTCTATCTTACAGATGAGGAAACTGAGGCCCAGAGAGGGACTTGCTCTAGGCAACCAGGCTCTGGTGCCCAGGTCCAGCCACCCTGCTCACTGCCTCCCCCAGGAACATCTGCAGCTTCATCTCAGCCACATCTATCCTCATTCCCATTGAACAAATAAGTCAAAGCATACGCACCATTTCAAGGCTTTTATTTTTATTTTATTATTATTTAAATTTTTTTAATGTTTATTCATTTTTGAGAGAGACCATGAGTGGGGGCGAGGTAGGGAGAGAGAGACAGATACAGAAACCGAAGCAGGCTCCAGGTTCTGAGCTGTCAGCCCTGAGCCCAACACGGGGCTCGAACTCATGAACTGCGATATTATGACCTGAGCAGCAGAAGTCTGATGCTTAACCGTTTAACCGACTAAACCACCCAGGCGCCCCTCAAGGCTTTTATAACCTAAACCTCCACCTCATTCCTCTCCAGAAAAGCTGTTTCTTTACCCTCCCACCAGTAGCATTTGTGCGTAGGCTCTATATCCTTTCCAAACACTAGGAATTTTCATAAAAGAAAAAAAGTCAGTTGGAGGGATGTACACATTTCATTGTTTTATTTTGAATTTCTTTAATGATTAAATTGAACCTAAAAAGAGGTTTATCGGCCATTTTTATGTTTGTGCCTTTTTTTTTTTTTAGTGAATCGCCCATTTGTGGTTTTCACCTATTTTTCTCTTTGGTAGATTTTTTTTCTTATTGATCCCTAATAACTCTTTGTATATTGAAGCTATTAGTGGTTTGCTATACAGATTACAGGTTTTTGTTTTTATTGTTTGTTTTTTGTTTTTTCAAATTCTCAGCGTGCTATAGACCTTTTGGATTTAATTTGCTCCAAATCTTAACTCGGTATCAAGTTTCTCAGCTGAGAGTGAAGCATTACTGAGTTCCCTCTGCCTGCCAGAGAAGTCATCCATCTACTGCCGGTTGGCAGCTTCTCAGTATCACAAGCCTCACAGCTGCTTCCGGACCAGGTTCCGGAGGGATTTCCCCACGGTCTTTCTTGGTTCAGCTTTCAGAGGGGGATATGCATGCTCCATGGAGATGGTCCCCTCCCATTCCGCCCTGGAATTTTCAGCCTCCCCAAAGAGAGTTTTCTGACGTTTACCCTCCAACTCAACCTTCTGAGATACCATTTGTGCTTCACAGCCTTGTACAGCTGTTGTTTTTAAACCCAGGATGTGATGTTAATTCTGCCAAATTGGAGCAACCAGAACTTATCATCCTGCCCTCTTCGAGAAAAGTACTATTTGGTTTGGGTTCTAAAACCTTCCAGTCTTTTCTCAGGTTGTCAGGGTATGGGACGCATCTTGCCACTCTGTTTTTCTGACTCGATGTGAATGATCTCTCCTTGCCGGGTTCATAGACTGCAAAATTGTTTTTGCCATTTTATTGCAGAACGTTTCAAACCTACCCCCAAAGCCAAGCCCCCAGTGCGCCACTGCTGGGATTCCTCCACTCGCCCCCTCACCCCCTTAGTCAATCATGTAACCAGTGAAGTTGAGGTTGCACTTCCAAAACATTCAGCTAAAAACTGAACTTGCACAAATGATCGTTGTAGAAAAACCTGGAGAGCAGAAGAAAGGAGAGAAAATGAATCTGGAAAAGAATGGACAAGCCGCGGATAGGGAGGAGGAAGCGCAAACGTCACGTGACTCTGCTAGACTCTGCTAGCCGCACTGGGAGATTTGAGGCTTTTGGGGTCAAGCCCACCGCCTGGCTTACCTGCTGTCCCTAGAGTACAAAGACACACTACTTGTGCCCTGAACTTCACTTAAAAATACTGAATCTTCTCCTTCCCAGCACCATACTAATGAATGGACACCTGAGCACCCTTCTTAAAACTTAATTTTTAAGAATGACACGGATTATATGGAAACCAAGTTGACAATAAACTATTTAAAAAAAAGAATGACACAGAAACAAGCAATTGAAAAGTACACTCCGACGGGCGCCTGGGTGGCTTAGTCGGTTAAGCGTCCGACTTTCGCTCAGGTCATGATCTCGCGGTTCGTGGGTTCGAGCCCCGCGTCGGGCTCTGTGCTGACTGCCAGCTCAGAGCCTGGAGCCTGTTTCAGAGTCTGTGACTCCCTCTCTCTCTGACCCTCCCCTGCTCACGCTGTCTCTCTCTCTCTCTCTCTCCTAGAAATAAATAGAAAAAAAAAAACATTTAAAATTGAAAAGTACACTCTGGGAAACAATCCCCTGGTAACATTTCTAAGGAGACTCCCACCCTGCCCCCAGAGCGCGTGCTCAGCATTTTCCAGTACCCGGCTCCAACAGATGCCAACCCTGCGGGGTCGCTAAGACCCTATGTTACAGATGGACACACTGAGGCTCACACGGAGAGCCCACGGTGAGGGCTGAATTTGAAACCAGGTCTGCAGGACACTAGGGGACCGCGCGCTTCTTACCCAACGGCCCTAGGGGACATCCCGGTGTAACCAGGTCCTAACTAGTCAGTTGCGCCTGGAGGCACAGATTGGGTTTTATTCCGATAGAGGTTGGGTGGAGTAACAGGCGGTCGGGCCAGCGGGGGTAGGTGTCGGGAGGCTGGGCTTGTTCTGAGCTGTGACACCTTTAAGGCACAGAATCACGTCAGATTGGAAGGCTATGAGCTCTCTGTGCCTTTAAGGCCGTCCTGGGGGCGGGGCCTGGGAGACGGGCCCAGACGGCTGATTCACTCCAGGCGCTCCTCCCCTTTAAGGCGCGCGGCAGGGCGGGGCCCCCGCTGGCCTCTTCAAGGCGGGGTCCGCGTCCGCCGGCAGAATAGCGGCTTAAAGGCGACGCGTGGCGCGATGGCGGCGGCCCCACGCGCGTGCAGGCGGGGCTGGCGGCTGCGCCCGGTGCTGCCGCTGCCGCCGCTGCTGCTACTGCTGCTGCTGCCGCCCCCGGGGGGCCCGCCGGGCGCCGCCGCCTACTTCCCCGAGGAGCGCTGGAGCCCGGAGTCGCCGCTGCAGGCGCCGCGAGTCCTGATCGCGCTGCTGGCGCGCAACGCGGCCCACGCGCTGCCCGCCACGCTGGGCGCGCTCGAGCGGCTGCGGCACCCGCGGGAGCGCACGGCGCTGTGGTGAGCGCGGCCCCCGCCCGCCCCGCTGCCCCCCTTCGGGCGGCTCCACACCGCGCGCCGCCTGCTGCCCCCGCCCCCGCACCGGGCGGGGCGAGCCGGACCCACGCGTGTCCCCTGCTTGCTTCCCTCCTCGGGGCGGGCGGGACGCGCGGGCTGTCTGCTTGCTGTCCCGCCCCTGCCCCTGTCTCTTCCCCGCCGCCTTAGCACAGACCGATCGCACCCTGCAGATCCGGGACCTCTGGTGCCCAGCCCGGGGCTGGGCCGCTCTCTGCCTGGGACTAGCCCTCAGACCCTCTTCCGAGCACCCACAGCTCCGAAGAAGGGGAACCTGGAGACCCCGCGGCCCGCACCGCACTTCCACTAACGGAAAGACTTTTCGGCTTCTGCTCCTTTGGATCCTGAGCCCAGCCTGAGTCAGATCCCCTGCCCTCTAACCAGCGTGGGTGGGTGGGTTACCGGACCCTAGTGGCCAAGGGGGGAAGTGAATCCTTCCTGTAAGGGGAATGGGGCAGAGTTCTGCCAGACTGGTGACTTCCCGCCTCCTGCCTCAGTTTCCTCATCTGGAAAATGGGGGCATCACTGTAATTGCGGATCATTAACCAGTTAATGTCAGGGAAGCCCTTGTGCCTGGCATCTCTGGCTTGGTGCTCAATGGACCAGAGCTGTGGCTACTAATCTTATTATTAATCATCGCTGTTGTTGGTGACTTCATCACGATTTGGGGTGGGGGGGAGGATAGTTCTCATCTTTATGGTTAACCTGGACTCTTAAATGGCTCTCACCTCTCCATCCCAGATTCCCTAGCCTGGATAATCCAAGAAATGTTTGTTGAATTAATAAGTAACCATAGCCAACTATAAGGTGGTGTTGCTCCTAAGAGACAGTGGAGGAAGGTAGGGTGAGGGTATATGATACACTGTAGACATTTTAAAATTAAATTGCACAGGGGCGCCTGGGTGGCTCGGTCAGTTGTCTCTGGCTCTTGATTTTGGCTCAGGTCATGATCTCCCGGCTCAGGGGTTCAAGTCCCACGTCTGGCTCTGTGCTGACCATGGAGCCTGCTTGGGATTCTCTCTTTCTCCTGCTCTTTCTCGATGAATTTTGAAAAAAAAAGTAAATTTAGATTGTACATATTTAGTACTTGATGTGGTTATGAGATCCTAGATGCTCAATAGTACTAACAACGTCTGATGTGTTTTAACAAAATGAGCTCGTTTAAGCCCCTCTGCAGCCCAGTGAGCAGGATCCTGTCCTCCGTCCTGTGTATTTCTGATGACACAGGGGTGGGGATAGGGTCCTGCCCAGGGCTATCAGCTAGTAGGAGGCCAGCTTGGGGTATGGAGTCTGTTGTTGCCCTGGCTCCCCAGCCCCGTCCCGTCATGCCTCAATCTCCCCAACCTCACGCCGCCTGTCCCTGCCTGTCCACAGGGTGGCCACGGACCACAACTCGGACAACACGTCGGCTGTGCTTCGGGAATGGCTGGTGGCTGTAAAGAGTTTATACCACTCTGTGGAGTGGCGGCCGGCGGAGGAGCCCAGGTGAGCTTCAGACCCCGCCTCCAGCGGGCCGGGCTCCGCCCTTATTCACTCACCTTTCGTGACTCCCCACCCCCAACTTTCCGGCCCAGCTTTGCAGCCTTAGGGGCTGGCCTTGGCTGCTCTGGCTGGCCCTCGGCTTCAAAGGGCCACAGTCCTCCAGCGGGACCTCTGCCCTGGCACTTGTCTCCCCTCCTGCTCTTGTCTTCCCGGCCGATGACGCCTACTGCCCTGTCCCCAGTGTCGCCCTGTGCCCCTCAGCCAGCTCTGCCACTTAGCCTCCCCGTGAGCCCCTGGGCAGTGCTGACCCCTGGTTTCCTTAATCCTTTGATGGTTTTTTTCCTAACCAGATTCCGAGTCTGGGCAGACAGGGTCCAAGTTTACTTCTGCTGTGTGTCCTGTCCCAGTGGCTCCCCTTACCCTCAGGAATGACCCTGCAAGGCATAGGGGCCCCGGCCCCCATCTCCAGAGCTTTCTTCCTACTCTGCAGCGTGCCCTGGGCTCCCTCCGCCAGGTTTCTCCTCTCGCTTCCTCCCAGCTTTCAGACCCAGCCCACACATCCCCACCTCCAGGAAGCCCTCCCTGACCACTGCCCTCTGGGTCGTGATGGTGCCTCATGCCTCCCGCATCACAGCTGCCCCTCCGCAGGTCCTACCCGGACGAGGAAGGCCCCAAACACTGGTCCGACTCGCGCTATGAGCATGTTATGAAGTTGCGCCAGGCGGCCCTGAAGTCTGCCCGGGACATGTGGGCCGATTACATCCTGGTGAGTTTCTCGGCCCGGCTGCTCCCAGGTGGCGGGGGAGGTCTGGGTGGCCTAGGGAAGGCAGATCACTGGGATGTAGCCACCAACTTTAACCCCGTTTACAGAGGGAAACAGGCTCTGAGAGGGGGAGCGAGTGGTCAGAGGTGACACAGCCGGTCAGCAGGGGAGCTGGGGTTCAATCCAGGGCCCCCCCTGGGCTCTTAATCATCAGACTGTGTTCCTAACTCCCCCCTGTGGTTGGACCCTGAGGTTATCTCCTCTTTATTGCCACTTCCGCACAGCCCAGGATAACGTCCTCTGGGTGAATTTCGGGAAGCTAGGGGATGGGGTGCGGGGCTCGGGGGGCACTGGAGTTGAGGCCTGACTTTCACTTCCTTCTGGGCTGGCCGTTGCGCCCGGAGGAAGGGACGGTTCAGGATCGCGTGCCCTAATGTTAAGGCTCCTGCCTGCAGATGCAGCCCCATCGCCTCCATCTGGACGTGACCTCCTCCCCTGGTGCGGGTGGGGCTGGATGGCACGGACGGCTGGGCCTGGCTCCCCACGGAGGCCGAGGGCACCAATGCCCGCCCGACCGGACCTGTGGTTGGTCTCCATCTACACGCCAGGCCCTGAGCCATGGTCTGCACCTTCTTTACTTACCTAGTTAGCAGACATCTGTGAGCCTCTCCCCTGCCCTCCATCCGTGTGCCGGACACGGGGACACGGGGAGGGTCAGCATGGGCCACACCCTGCCTTCCTAGTGTCCCCAGAAAGGTGGACGTGACCAGAAAACAAAACTGAGCAAGGACATACAGAAAGGCAGCCGGTGCTGTGATCATGGAAAGGTGGCGGGTGGCGGATCAGTGTCCTGGGGCCACTGTGACAAAGGTGCCACACGGAGGGGCTTACGACAACAGAAGTTTGTTGCCGCACCGTTCTGGAGCCTCGAAGTCTGAAGTCTGGGTGTCCGTGGTGCTCCCTCTGAAGGCTGTAGGGGAGGATCCTTCCTCTTGTCTTCCAGCTTCTGGGGGCTTCGCGTGTTCCTCGGTTTGTGGCCACATCGCTCTGTCGTCTGCCTCTGGGGTCACATGGACTCCTCTCTCTGTTTCCTCTTAGCAGGTCGTTAGTCATTGAATTTAGGGTCCAGCCTACTACAGCCTGACCCCATCTTAACCTACATCTTGGTTACACATGCAAAGACCCTGTTAAGATGACAGTCACAGGTTACCAGGGGTCAGAATTTCAACATATCGTTTTTGGGGGCCCGCATTCAATCCACAACAGATGGCATAATCAGTGTGCGGTGATGAGTGAGCAGGCTGGGGGGCCTCCCTTGGGAGGGGACCCTAGCGGTGGATCTGAAGGAACAAAGAAGCCAGCCTCAGGGGGGTCTGGGGGACAGTGTCTGAGGTAGAGGGAACAGAGCAGGGCACAAGCTTAGGGCATACAAGGGCTGGCGAGGCGGCCAGTGTGGCTGGAGGGGTGATGGGGGCCGAAGTGGTGGGTGGGGGCCAGACCACGCAGACCACGGGAGAGATTTGGTTTTT